GCACTTTTTATTAAAGCCATAAATTAATTTATTTGTATTTGTTAATCAATAATATAAATACGTATATCAATTATAACCGACGGCTCCGTGGCGCAGTGGCTTAGAAATGAGTTGCTGCGCTGGGGGCCGCGGGTTCGAATCCCGCACGGAACAAGTATTTGTATGGCCTACAAATAATAGTTTCGGGTCTGGATGTTTGTCCTTGTGCAACTTGTGTTTGTAAACCACCTCCACAATACAGAAGAAAATCCTAATGTGGGTATAACGTTTTAAATAAAAAATAATATACTACGAAAGGAACTTCGTTCCAACCGAGTGTTCCACGACACTCACGCGAGTTTTTTTTTAATTGGAAGAAATAATTACTTTCAAAACATATTACCATAGGCCTCCACTCATCATTACGTATAGGCTATATATAGCCCGGCTAAAAACCTAGCCACCTCTTCGAGGGTGCTTAAAAACAATAAAATAAAGAAGCGTACATCTAACAGAATACGAATACAAAACTTAGAGTATAAATAAGCTAGCTTGCTTATAAATACTAAGATACGAAAAGTAAATACATCATCAATCATCAATACAGTCCTTCACAAGTCCACTGCTGAACAAAGGGCATTCCCCCAAGGAATGCCACAAAGCACGGTCCCGAGCCACCTGCATCCATTGACTTCCTGCATGTCTTACCAGGTCGTCACTGCATCTAGTGGGGGGACGCCCTACACTTCGTCCGTCGGTACGAGGCCGCCACTCGAGAACCTTTTTTCCCCATCGGTTGTCGGTTCTTCGAGCTATATGGCCGGCCCAATGCCACTTCAGCATACTAATTCTTTGCGCTATGTCGGTTACTCTGTATATCCTCGGTTTTAAGTCTATCACGCAGAGAAACGCCGAGCATAGCCCTGTCCATAGCTCGCTGAGCGACTTTGAGCTTTCTCATACGGCTAGCAGTGACGGACCACGTCTCAGTTCCATAGGTCATCACTGGCAACACGCACTGGTTGAACAATCTAGTTTTGAGGTATTTCAAACGAGAAGATGTGTCGTAATCTCCCAAACGCTGCCCAGCCGTGTTGAATCCGTTGATTGACCTCTTCACCGCTGCATTGGAAGACATTTTCAGGCTATTGGACTGGAAAGGATGCGGTATTAACATCAATGGCGAGTACATCACTCAACTTCGGTTTACGACGATATAGTCCTTATGGCAGAATCGCTGGACGACCTAAGCACTATACTACGTAATCCTGTCTTACACCTCTCTGCAGTTGGGTAGGTCTCTGGTTCTGTACTTGGATAGCCATCGTAGCTCTACTGTACAAACACTTCAGCACTTCGATATACCAACAGTCCACTTGGCACCACTGGAGGGACCGACCAAATTTCGACAGAATCAAAGACTTTCTCATAGTCCACATACGTAAGACAAAGTGGCAGATTGTACTCTTCGGTCTTTTGTACAATTTGCCGAAGGATATGTATGTGGTCTATGGTGCTAAAGCCTTTTCGGAAGCCGGCTTGTTCGGGAGGCTGGAAGTCGTCGAGTCTGCATGCGAGACGATTTTTTTTTATTTTTTTTTTATTATTTATTTATTTGGTTCACCAACAAATGTTACACTGATATATATGCTTAATTCTAATATAGTAATATAAATTAAGTGCACATTCAATAATAGGTGAACACCGCATGCTTAGTGTTCACAGCATCTCCTACAAGCCGTTACCAAATAGCTAAAAATATACGATACAAACTTAAAATAAAAGAAAATAAACAACATAAAAAAAATTTTTTTTTTTTTTTACAAAGAAACATTAATATTTTGATAAATTTTGTGCCGAAAATCATTAAAAGAGTCGTGGTGAATATCTACTACATTATTATAGGTATTTAAAAGTCTGGAAAGTCTGGATATTGGGGAATTAAATCCTAGTACAGTTTACGAAGAGGCGGCGAAAGAGGAGTAATGAATTTACGAGGATATCTACTTGGGATACGAAAATTAAATTTACGTAGTAATAAAGGGCAATCTAAGTTATTTCTAAATATTTTATATAAAAGTTGCAAATCCAGAATGTCCCGGCGTTTTGATAGTGATACCATTTTAAATGACTTTAATCTATCTACATATGATGCATTTTTATATGCTTTTCGTGTTGAAAAGGCAAGATGCCATAAAAATCTTTTTTGTACGCGCTCAAGGCGAAGGTTATGGGTAGAATAATGGGGACGCCAGACTGTGCTACAATATTCTAATATACTTCTAACAATTGAGAAGTATAAAAGTTTTTTTGTGGTAACATTACGGAATTCTTTACTATTTCTTATAACAAAACCTAATGCTTGAGATGATCTTTTAATTACATTTTCTAGTTGTGGTATAAATGTAAGCTTTTTATCAAATACTACACCCAGGTCCTTAACTGTTTCCACTTCCTGGATAACTACACCATTGAGGGTATAAACTGATGGGAAAATATTATTTTTGCGAGTGAATTTAATATGTGCACATTTTTTTAGATTAAGAGTCATTCCATAAACATCACACCATTTAGAAAGTCTAGTTAAATCCTCCTGAAGAAGTATCATATCTGACGATTTATTAACAATTTTACAAAATTTTAAGTCATCAGCATACATAAAGCAATTGGAATGTAAGAAACAATTAGGAATATCGTTAACAAATATGTTAAATAAAATTGCCCCAAATGTGATCCCTGGGGAACTCCGGATGTGATGGGAAATATGTCAGAACTGAATCCATTAACAACAACAAAATAATTTCGACCTTTTAGATAAGACCTTAACCACGCGAGGATAGGGTCAGAAAAACCATAAGTTTCTAACTTTCTTAAAAGCATAACATGTGATACTCGGTCGAAAGCCTTACTGAAATCGGTATATATTACATCTATTTGCTGTTGCATATCTACAGTTTTCACCAACGTTTCAACAAACGTAACTAAATTAGAGCAAGTCGAACGAGATTTGACAAATCCATGCTAATCATCTGTAATAAACTGTTTTGTATAATTTTGGATATAGGGACATACTAATGATTCAAATATTTTGGGAAAGGTTGATAATATTGAGATCGATCTATAATTGCTAACTAAAGTATCATCATCCGCTTTATGTATAGGGACAACTTTTGCGAGCTTCCATATATCTGGAAAGCATCCTGTTTGTAAGGATTTGTTATATATAAAACAAAGAGGAGTAGACAGTTCTATGGCACATTCAGCGATGAAATAAGGTGAAATAGAGTCTGGACCAGGTCCTTTTTTTCGGTCTAAGCCCTTTAATTTTTTTAAAACTGATTTTTCATCCAAAACCAAAGTGCCAAAATGATAATTATTATTATCTAAATATGTTAAATATTGGTTATTTGAATCATTTTCATTAAGACCATTTGGATTGTCTACGGTGTATACTGAGGAGAAATGTGAGGCAAAATGATTGCATATATCAGTCGCATCTGTTGTCATCACACTACCATTAGACATTGCACTCGGATACTTACTATTGCCATGCCGTTTATTTTTGATGTAAGACCAAAAAACTTTTTAATTTGTAACAATATTATCTTCTATAGATTTTATATAAACGTTGTAGCAGGTCTTAGCTAATTTATCACATCTCTTATTAAGTAACTTTAGGCTGAGTAAATCCATTGCGTTATTATATTTTTTGTGTCTACACCTCACCTTATTTTTTTCCTTTATTAAGTTAATCAGACTTCAACTAAACCAAATGGGATATTTATCACTTTTGATCGTACTCCATGGAACAAATTTTTCTATTGCTAAATTTACAATTTTGTAAAAAACTGAAACAATACTATTTATATCATTTAGCCCCACGAATAGCATATCCCAATTAATTTTACTTAAGTGTTCACGAATTTTTTCATAATCAGCTTTATAGAAATTGCGCTTTTTGACATTAGAATTGTATTTTAGTTTTCGTGTTTCAGATATAAGTAGTTGTATTTCAATCGGAGGATGTAAAGGATCTACGTGAAAAGTACTCGGCCTAACCAAGAAAATAAACAAATACTAAATCAGTTATATTTTTATTTTTCTACATAATCACCATCAAGTTCAATACACTTTTGCCACCTCCCCTTCCAAGCATTTAGACCGTTGAAAAAAAATGATTCTTCCTTAGAGTCAAAATATGCGTCTACAGCTGCTTTGACCTCGTCGTTTGTCGAAAATCTTTGACCTCCCAAGTGCTTTTTTAGGTTATGGAACAGAAAGAAGTCTGATGGTGCCAGATCAGGTGAATACGGCGGATGCGGTAACAGTTCAAAGCCACAGTTGTGAATTTCAGCCATTGACTGTACTGACGTGTGAACACGGGCGTTATCTTGATGAAACAGGACTTTTCTTCTGAGCATTCCTCGACGTTTTTCTTTTATTTCCTCTCGTAAACGACGTAGTGAGGTGCAGTAGTAATCAGAGTTTATATTCTGACCCCTTTCAAGATAATCAATCATAATCACACCTTTCGAGTCCCAGAATAATGAAGCCATCACCTTATTTGCCGACAAAATCGACTTAGCCTTTTTAGGGGGTGGTGAACCAGATCTTCTCCACTGTTTTGATTGTTGTTTTGTTTCTGGTGTACAGTAATGAACCCATGTTTCGTCCATAGTAACAAAATGATTCAAAAAATCATCTGCATCGGCTTCAAATAACTCCAAACAGTCGCGTGAAATAGTCAATCGCGTCCTTTTTTGTTTAACTGAAAGCAGTCGCGGAACTCACCTCGCAGACACCTTGTGGAAACCCAACTCGTTGACAATGATGTTTTGAGTTCGTTCATAAGAGATGCCTATAATCTCGGCTATCTCTCTAATTTTTAATCTGCGGTCTCCCATTATTAAATCAAGTACTTTTTTAATATTATCGTCAGTAGTAGACGTCGAAGATCTTCCAGAGCGGGGTTCATCTTTCACACTCTCTCTACCACGCTTAAATTCTGCTATCCATTTTTTGACGGATGAATATGACAGAGCACAATCGCCTAATGTACTGACCATGTCATCATGGATGGCTTTTGATGATAGCCCCTTCTTATGGAGGTACTTAATGACGGCACGCTGCTCGATTTGCTCCATTCGCGGAAATTATGTCCGATTACTTTATTAATAAATTTATAAAATCACAACTAATTATCGCACACGTTTCGAACTTCACACAATGAACTAGTCTGAACTGAACTAAATAATGTGGATAGATTTGATTTTTAGAATTGAATGGATCTGTGTTAGGCCGAGTACTTTTCAATCCACCCTCGTATGATGGTCAATATATCGTTTGCCTCATTAACAGTGCAATGTAAACTATTTATTAGAACTAAATCGAGAATTCTCCTCATTTTATTTTCGACGAAATTGTACTGTCGTAATTTATTAATATAACAGAAATCTATAAGACTTCGAGCCTTAAAGGGAGCAGTATAATTGCTATTCAAGTCATTGACGAGTTTCCAATTAACGTCAGGTAAGTTAAAATCACCAACTATGCAAGTCCTTTGTTTCAATTTATCAAACAAAGAATTACAGTTACTAAGAAAACATTCCAATACTCTAGACTGAATTGGTGGGGGAATATAGACAGCACAAAGGGCAATTGGAAAATAGTTCTTTCCGTCTGTCAAATCTAGAGTAACCTAAAGATCTTCACATTTACTTTCCCACATAATCATTCTTTTTGACTTGATTCTACTAGATATAGCTATCAATACTCCTCCACCATCCTTATTTGAATGAAAACCGGTAGTTTCCCTGTCCCTTCTATAAACTACATATCTGTTACCAAATAGCTCATTACTAATAATCGTATCATTCAACCACGTTTCAGTCAATATGATGATATCGTAATCGAAATAGCACAATTTACGGTAAAAATTTAGAGTTTTTGTTCGCAAACCACGCACATTCTGGTAGTAAATACTTAACTGTAAATTATTGTATTTTAAATTAAAAAATATTCAACATACATTATCCTTAGATCTATATATAACTAAGAAGATTATACTAATTTTTCCAGGAGACTCATGTTTTTGATGAGGTGATACTTGGAATTGTCATCCTTTCTCATGTAAATTCGTCCATTCCTCACCCAAACGTATTTAAAGTTATATTCTTTCGCTTTTATCCTGGCGGCTGCATGCAAAGCTTTGTTAGCTGGAGACAAATGCTCCAATATATAAATAGGAATCTTATTTCCGGGAATACCGAGATGAGTTGAATTCAGCTTGTTGGAGACATCTATTTTATTAAACTTAATCGCTGAAGCCAAGAACTGATCGCGTATGAAAGGTGTTGTAAACTGAACAATAATTGAACGTGGACGGGGGCTGCTCCGATTTATTTTTGCAATGCGTGTACAGTTTACAATTTTATCATCACTTATGTTGCAGTTAATGACCTTACATATATCCTTAACAATATTTAAGACATTTTCCGTCTTCCTTTCTGGAACACATTGGATTTCTGCATTTGATGATCGTGCGCTTTGCTCCAGTTGGTTGACACGTATCGTTAGTTCTTGAACAGCAGATTTTACTTTGCAATTTTCATCCTGAAGCTCTTTATAACTCTTTTTCATAGCTATACTTTCCATTTTACACTCTTCAAATTCAGCATTCATAAACTCTATAGATTCCTTTACTTTTGATAATTCTTCACTTACATCCTTTAGTTGCTTATTCAATGTGTCTAGTATACTTTTACTCATTTTATTGTAAAGGCTCTTCATTTCCTTCTGTATCACGATTCGTAATGACTCTCGAAAACAGCACGCAAACGCGGTTTATTAGAAGGGAAATCGGTCTGTAGTTCTTCAAGAGAACGTTATCGCTTTTCTTGAAGAACAAGACCACCACAATTCTTTTCCACGCCTCCGAAATAGTGCCTCCATGAAGGACGGAATTAAAGAGCTTCTGAAGGAATTTAAGTACCGGCTTTCCACTCGCTTTCAGAAGCTCCGCTGTAATTCCATCCTCGCCCGGGAACTTGCCGTTTTTAAGGTGTTGGAGAGCCATTCTAATCTCGCTCAGACTGACGTCCGGGATATCATCGGAATAGTGTGGGATAAGACTTGCGCTTGGATCGTTACTCACACTTGCGTGTGGCTCCAACGATGACGGAGCTGTACCGCTGCCCATAGAACCTCTCAATCTCACTCAAAATCGGTTTCGGGACTTTGGATTGGAGTACGAGGGGGACGGAGCGTTGACTTCATTAGACGACACCTCTCCAACTTAACGTTTAGGTTAAGTTGGAGAGGTGTCGTGTGATTTCTTATATTTATGCAAATACTACACACTGAATAAAACTATGTTTACGGATTTTATCGCGTTTAATTAATTCCCGACGTGTCGGGTGCTTTACAGCACTGCCTAAAAGTGACCATAGCTTGCTGTAAAGCACCGGAAACATCGGGTATTAAAATAGTAAATTAAACGCGATAAAATCCGTAAACATAGTTTTATTCAATTTCTTGTGTGAAAGGGACCCACCCTATATAGTTAAGATTTACGTTTGGACCCGGTGGCACTGTTGTCAAGATCCAGAAATCACTCATGCGAAGCCGGGGCAGATCGTTAGTTGTTTAATAAAGTAAAGTAGTTTCTTACCCGGAAACATCTAACGCTCTTTTTATTTATTACAATCTCCCCTTATCTTTACATATAAAAATTACTACTCGTGACATATAACTAACTATACGTGACAAAATTTACATAATTATCTATACAAATAAATAAAATTGATGTGTATGTTTGTAATGTCACAATTACAGTTTTTTATTAAATGCATATGAAAGTAAATACGGTACTTATAACTAAAATACTAATTTTAAAATTTTTGTCTGTCTGTTTGTTCCGGCTAATCTCCGAAACGGCTAGACCGATTTTGACGGGACTTTCACTGGCAAATAGCTGATTTCATAAGGAGTAACTTAGGATACTTTTATTTTAGAAAAATAATTAGGGTTCCGCGCAAAAACATAAAAACCCTAACGCGAGCGAAGTCGCGGGGAACAGCTAGTATACTAATATAATAAAGCGGAAGATTTTTTTTGTCTGTTTAAACACGCTAATCTCTGTAATTTCCAGTTCGATTTGAAAAATTATTTTTGCATATTATAGTCAGATTCATGAGGAATAGTATAGGCTATCTATATCTAGCATTAGGTTACACCTCTCAGCTAGCCTTAAAAATTGAATTTTGTTAAGAAAGTCAGAAGAAAAAGCGCTCCCGAAATGAATTAATCGCGTGCGCTGGCGTAATGGTTAGAGATACGTAAATACAATGTTCTCCAAAAATATATATCATTATGCTGTCTAAAAAAAGTCCACGATACCATATGCCTATTTCTTACATATAAGCCACAATAAGGTATTTTGTGTTAGTGTGATGGTAACGTTATAATAATAAAAAGATGCTTTTACGGGCCTATGATAAAGGAATAAAAAGAATACTTTGATAATTGATGTCTCTTGTTAAAATCTAATTTAATTTATTTGTGTATTTATTTAAATGGAAAATTTAAAAACGTTTTTACTTATCAACGCGATTGAATTTATAACCGGTTTTCCTTTATAGAACATTTTCAGTTTTGTTATTATTTATATTACAGCTCGTGTTTATCTAAGAAAATACGCCAAACTTAACTGGTAAAGTAGAATTTATGTTAGGTACTTAAGTAAAAAAGTACGTGAACAAGTGTTTTTACATATCGGATCTGCATCAAAGATACTTGGCCATAAGACAACCGAAAAAAAATAAAAGACGTAAATCTACCTTTTTTTTTCATTTTCATAAGTACACATACGCTTGAGTCGCATAATATGTAGCCAGTACGAACGAAACATAATTAATTAATGCCCCTTTTTGTCCCCTCGACATGCCCACATGTATCAGTGACCTGTTGAATTAAAAATAATTGTGTTGCGGATTAAACAAAATTAAAAAAAAACCGAAACTCACAGCAAGCTGGCGTTGTGTAGCATTTGAACGATTTCACCAATCGCACGAAGTTTGTCGTCGCTGACTTTCAGCCAGTAGTTGAATGCCATGGAAAGCTTCTTACGGATCTGCTTTCCCGGTACTTGCAGGATATACGTGTATGGCATTAGGATTTTCTGTAAAAAAAAAGGGCTACTTAAGCTGCTATATTTCAAAACAACACTAGTTGAAAAGCCACCTTCGGATGAAAACGATTTGCGTATGTACCTATTAACGATTCGCGCATGGACCAAGTATTTGTCCTACCGGTGGGTTTGTACCTTTCACGATACAGGAGAAAATCCTACTGCAAGGGTAACGTTTTCAAGAGTTTAAACAAACATTATCATCATCATCATTACATCCTTTCACAAGTCCACTGCTGAACATAGGCCTCCCCCAAGTTGTGCCACAAAGCACGGTCCTGAGCCACCTGCATCCATCGACTTTCTGCATGTCTTATCAGGTCGTCACTCCATTTAGTGGGGGGTCGAACTACACTTCGCCTGCCTAAACATTTTTTTTATAGGATAGGGTGACAAACGAGCACACAGTCCACCTGATGGTAAGTGGTTACTATTGTGACCCATAGACATCTACATTTATCCTCAATAAAGACTCAAGATGCAGATGCGTTGTCACCCGTGAGGACTAAGATGGAATGCCTCTTTTCCAATAAAAAGGGTCTCCGGTTCTCTACACTCACCATACGAAACACAGCAGCGTTAAGCTGCTATTTTACGCAGGTTTTCTGTGAGAGCGTGGTCCTTCCCCGGTCGAGCCGACCCATTCGTGCTACAACTATACTACTAATATAGCTGCAGCATGGCTCTACCACGTACAAGATACATATATAAAATTCTAAGATATATATTTTTATTTTATGTATTATATTTTAATAAAATTATATGTTTATTATTTAATAAAACAATTACCGGATTTACTCGGGACCGTCACGTAAACGTATCAAACACGTGAATAAGTGAGCCGTCTGTAGTACTAAGCGGTTTTATATAGAATGGTCGACTGGTTCTAGAATTGCTCTCGTCTGTCGAAACCAACCCATGGTTCTGAGACGAACATAATCAGAAAGAATATAAATAATTTAAAAACAAAAATTTTGTACAACCCACTTCAATATAAATTATTAAGAATAACTCAAAAGCTTTTGGTTAAGACCGTAATTACTAATCATGTAATAATTTTTCAATAATTGACAAGTGATTTTCCATCGGGAACAGCTTGTTAATTAATGAGATTTTTCATTACATAAAAGTTTAAAACTAAAATACCAGAAATCCAATGTTGCTTATGTGTTCCATGACCATATAATTTATGAAAATGACCTGTGACCACAATAAGTGTTTATGACAATGCTTAAATTTACACATATAAGTGGATATACATATCTTTATATTTATAAGAAATCATTATAAGAACACTTATTAGAAAATTTGCTTTTCATCGCAATGGACGAATATGAATTTTATTTTTAGCGCTGTTGTTCAACTGAGTAAACAATAATAATTTAAAATAGCTTTAAAAACAAGTCCAAATACTAACTATGTGGTACCTTTTAAGCCGCGAGGTCGGAAGGTGGATACTACATAATTTAAAATTTAAAATTTTGTACAGCCGATTTCAATATAAATTATTAAGAATAACTCAAAAACTATAGGTCTGACCTTGATCATATGGGACCACATGTGAAGCACCAGCTTTCAAATAAAAAAAAAATCATCGCAATCGGTTCACCCAGTAAAAAGTTATGAGGTAACACATAAATAAAACATACAGTCGAATTGAGTACCTTTTTGAAGTCAGTAGAAAATACATAACTAACGGCCGTTTTTCTTACCCCTTTTTTTACATAGATATTCGCCTTATGTATCTAAACTTCGATCCAATTCAATTTTAATGCACAAGTTACCTTTGTAGTCTATAGGCTATATTAGGCCCCTAGACACATTAATGTGTGGACGAGTGATTGTGTGCAAATGTAAACATTTATTAAAACGACAGTAACACTAGTCTAATTTTTAGCGAAATGGACCTCGAACTTCGAAATTTAAAACTACCATTCTCCTACGCCCGTGAACCACGCCTAACACAAGCAAACATAATTTACTGCGAAAATAGTTAGTGATGCGAATCATATCATTGTTTGCTTGCGTCAGTTAAATATTTTTTTACTTGGTGGAGCCATGCTGCAGCTATATTATAGCTGTAGCACGAATGGGTCGACTCGACCGGGGAAGCACCACGCTCTCACAGAATACGAACGTAAAATAGCAGCTTAACGCTGCTGTTTCGTATGGTGAGTGTAGGGAACCGGAGACCCTTTTTACTGGAAATGAGGCATTCCATCTTAGTCCTCACGGGTGACAACGCATCTGCATTTTTGGAACGAAGTTCTTTATCGGACGGTACGGGTCACTACCCCTTGTGTCATAGTGTAGACGGCCTTGGCGGCGAAATAAGGAAGTGAGATGGAATAATATCCATCGTCCTCGTACTTTTTCTTATCTTGCCATGAAAGAAATATTATTTTATTTCAAATGACGCTTCATTTTAATAGACGCTAGTAATTCATTTATTTGTATTTGTTAATCAATAATATAATACCTACGTTTATCAATAATATAATACCTACGTTTATCAATAATATAATACCTACGTTTATCAATAATAATATACTACACAAGGAACTTCGTTCCAACCGAGTGTACCATGACACTCACGCATTTTTTTATTCGTAATCGAGGATAGATGTAGATGACTATGGGCCACAGCAACCACTTACCATCAGGTGGACAGTGTGCTCGCTTGTCACCTTTATTCTAAAAAAAAGGATACTAGACATACACTACATAGTGTGTTTTGGCCAAATATAGGCATTTGTCCGTTACTTATGTCAGGTATCACGTGTTCGATTCTACGATGAACGTTGAATTAGTCGAGTTGAAGTTAGTTAAATGTACAATAAAGTTGATAGACTGAAATAGTGAAATGAAGAAAGAAATTGTCCATTGGATTGATTGGAGATTGGATGCCTGCTGGAGTGATGCAGCATTGTGGGGCAGCATGGAAACCGGCCGCTGCCAGGTCACCTCAGCTGGGCCAGGTCACCCACATATACACACCACTAAACACCACTTTACATGCATCTACTCTACGTACGGCCTGACCGAGCCTTGGGGCGGTCTTAGATTCGGATCCAGGTACGTACTATTTATTTTCCTAGCCTTTTCCCTATTGTGTAGTATGATAGGTCATTTTTCCATAAGGCCACTTGGGCCCGAAACCTCGGCTGCCCGTCGAGGAGGCTACTATGGGCCCTAGCCAAGGCGACCTTTGCAGGGGCAGCAGTGGGCCGTAACATAGTGGTTTATAGTATACTGGATATCCTTACACCGCCAAAACATGATTTAGTGATCCAATCACTAAGGAATCGAAAAGTCACTTCTGTTTGTTTAAAAAAAAACCTTGAAGAAGTAAGTGTTGTACAAGATTAGTGCCCTAATTGAACTGTCACCGAATTAAATTACTAGACTGAAATTCATTTAAAACTTTGCGCCGTGGACTTAATTGGATAGTAACATTTTTTTCCATGAAGTTTGGTACTCGTAATAATCACCATATCGGTGTGTATAAAGAAAACAGTTTTTTTTTCAAATTTTTTTTTAAATTGCCCCTCTCCTATAAAAAAAGTCAACAAAAAATGATTTAAGACAATGTAGTGCCAACCATCAAACATGCTGGTGGTTCCTTTATTCTCAGGACTTGGAACCTGACATTTAAATCAAATTAAAGTAATCAGAAAAAAAACAGCAGTACCAAACTTTCAGGCTAAAACTGTTTTCCAAAGGATTCATTTTTAAACAAGATATGAATTCAAAGCAGGGCTTGATAACATTATGAAATTTTGTTACAAAACACTATTATTTTTACATAAATACCTTATTAAAGATGGATATTTCATGGTTAATGACCAATAAAATTGTTAGTTGGCAATTTAAAAGTTAACAACATTTTATTACATACTTGTAGTTCTCACTCATGTTTTTCTGTATATTTATTTGTATTGTATAATTTTAAGTCTATTTGCACAAAAATTTAGTAAAAAGTAAAAGCTTCATAATGTTAATGATAATTGTTAAATTTATTGACAGTTATGTGTATTGTTACTTAGATTTACCAGCAACATGTTGCCTGACTAACATTAAGTTGTATAACTAGGGCATCGAGAACCGGTCCCTTTCCAGGAACCGGTTCTTTCGGTTCCAAGCTTATGCCAGAACCGGGTACCCAGTTCTTTTAGGTTGGAGGCTACTTTTGTTCAATGTGAATAACGATGTTATAATCATATTCATAAATAAAACAGTTTAGTGCAAATCGTAGGTACTATTTTTTATTTTCCTTGTCAAGTTTTCAAGTATTTTGGTTACAATAATTGCTGAGTCATTATGGAATACTAAGTAAGTACATATTACTTAAGTAATATTTGCAATATTATCTTTCTAATTAAATATAAAACACGAATCACAGGGAGTAGGACTGTATGATAAATAAGTCATTAGCTTTTTTTGTTATTTTTTTTTAATATTGTATATCATAAACAAATCAAATATCTCACTAACTAGGAATATTCATTTTACAATTGCACGTAAAGAGTTATTTAACATTTCATATAGTTTAATATCAATCAGCATAAAAATAAAACAAATCAAACATCTCACAGTAGTAATTAAGTTATTTTCTGGATCTGTCGATTCAGTAGCAGTATTGACAGCTTTAGACAACTCTCTATTAAGTTCCTCTTCGTTTGTTAGGAGGGATTCATGTAACTCAACTTCCTGCAGATCTTGACTTCCAATTGCTGGCGTTTCTTCAAGGGATACTTTTTGTCTAGCGTTCGTGTGATGCAGTAGCTTTACAATTTCATGTAACATTTCATCACTTGTAGGCCGGAAAAAGATAATTGCATCTTCGTCCATACTGGTAAAATAACTGTCAGGATTGGTAAAGTATCGCTGTATTGATGCTTGGATTAGTCATAGTTCTTTTTTTATATTGTTTTCGCAATTCAGTAACCATTTTATTACTAAGATGAGTATTCATTTCAAATAATTTTCTTATAGCAAATTTTAACGTCTTCGCTTTGAGCCTAGAGTGAAACCGCGCCAAATTAAAAAAAGTAATATAGATATCGATCACTGATTGTTTTATCAAACTAAGAATATTGATAAAAAAAACAATCATTCAAATAAAATAAAATATCAATACAAATCACATTGTTTTAACCGAAGAAACCAAAAGAACCAGTTTTTAAATTTTTGGAACCGGTTCTTTTCGTGACCCCTAAAACCAGGAATTCCCGGTTATTTTCGAACCGGGAAAAACCAGTTCCGATGCCCTATGTATAACATTACCTTTATTGCATTGGTATTGTTACTACCATTTTACTGGTATTTCAAGTCTTGATTCAAAGTACAATTTCAAATTATGTACAGATTGGGGTTAATTAGAACGGAATGCCAAATGCATTAAGGCATCCATTGTAACTCTTTCAATTGAAGGGTGTCACCAACAATAAATGTAAAGAGTTAGGTGTAAAGAGAAGTTGATCACTAGTGCCAATTTGATTGAATGTTAGTGGGAAAAGCTTCATAGAAATATTTATGACGGGTGTCTACCTTCAATTAAATTTACACAAAAGCTTTTTGTTTTATACAAAAGCTAGGCCATTTCTTTACAAACACTTAATAAATTGATTATTCATACATTTTTAAAAATCCGTTTAATAGTAGTAGAATGCAAAGGATGGTTTGAAGAAAAATCAGTTTAACAATATTTTAATTTTAAATATTAAATATAGCTTAGTTTAAGTTTTTTTTCGTCAATTAATACATTTTAAATAATCTATTAATTGTAAAATATAATATGAACCTATTTTTTATGTAGGTCCATTTAATTATTATAATGTAAAATGGAACTATCACTTCTGATTAAAAGAAAACTTGATAAACGTAATGAAAATAGCTTGTTATTCTCTGTAAATAACCTAATTTTTAAAATGAAGGTAGATTTTGTTGTCCATTTTAGCTTTCACCAAGTCTAAATTAAATTAAATATTTTTGACTTTAACTGGTACTTGAGAATCACTTATGCCCAAACACTTAAACACTGCTAAATTTTAAGATACCCTAAGTCATGCTGTCTCTATCAGTTTAAGTAAAAGTGACTATGACACCACAAGACTTAACAACATGTTAAAATTGAGTAGTGTATGAGTATGGCCATATGCCTCATTTCACTTACTTATTTATATCCTGTGATATTTGTGTATCTAAAAATTGTTTTTATGGAAATATCAAGACCGTAATGTGAGAAATTAATATTACTGCATAAAATTCAGATAGTATAACTCTCTTATTATAAGTTGTTATAATAATTGGTATATCTCAAAAAATTGTAAGACAATAATAAAAAATTACTGAAAAACTGATGAACTGAATTAATAAGAACAATAAATGTATAATGTACATTAGGTATATTATCGAATTGAATTATCACAGAATTATTTCATCACCATCATAATTATTATTACTATAGCCCATCAAAAGTCCACTGTCATATATTTCAATAAAATGACCATACTTGTGACATATAGTAACGTAAACTTACACAGCTTGACAAAGAAAATTCATTCGGAATAGATAACAAGAAATGCATAAAAAATTGGTGCCAGCAAAAATCAGTGCAATATTTTATTATGGTATTCATGGTTAATTACTATCAAACTGTTTGAAAACAAAAAAGCCGGTCGTCTTAAATTATTGATAATTATTAACTATTATGACTGTCATTGCATGTATTTTTCATTAAAATTAAAACAGATTAGAATGCAAATTACTACCTCATCTTGAACCTTGTCGCCAGCTTTCGTGAAGGTTTTCGACATATTTAAATTGTTTTCTTTAAAGTCTTCTTTGTTGAAACTACACAATAATTATATTAAAAATTTATTTTTCCGCATCTATTCTCCGCACAACCCGCAAACCGCAATGCGTGATAAAATCTGGATCATAGATAAATAAATATGTTGCAAACTAATCTGGATCTGGGTCGGATTCTGACAGCGACAACCAGTGTGACCGTCTTTAAAATACAGATCCTGCAATACTTTAGTTAAAAATCTGCCAAATCCTGCCAAAGTCTCTAGTGATAAAATGCCTAAATACTGCCAACTTTGTGTACCATTGTATAATTGTATTAAACTAAGAAAAGTAAAAATACACATTTAAATGCTTGATTTTTATTAAATTAAAATTAAACATATCTATCGTTGGTTTGAATGCAATGCAGTCGCCATGCTCACTAATGCCTTGTTTAAAGTGCAAGATAGATGCTACATTTTTTTTTATAGGATAGGGTGACAAACGAGCTTACAGTCCACCTGATGGTAAGTGGTTGCTGTGGCCCATAGACATCTACAACTATCCTCGTTTGCAAATCAAAATGCAGATGCGTTGTCACCCGTGAGGATTAAGGTGGAATGCCTCTTTTCCAGTAAAAAGAGTCTCAGGTTCTAAACACTCACCGTACGAAACACAGCAGTGTTAAACTGCTATTTTACGCTGGTATTCTGTGAGAGCGTGGTCCTTCTCCGGTCGAGTCGACCCATTCGTGCTACAACTACACCACTAATGTAGCTGCTGCGTGGCACTACCACGTTGAAAATCTTTGTTTATATCTAAATCTGTTTCGTGTTTTTGTCTTAATTAAATTTATTTGACGGAATATTCTTTCGCATGCTGAATCCAATCATATTTTTAAAACGAAGTTCCTAAGAACGAATTTGGGGGATGGGGACTAGGCGAGAAAAAGTGTAAGATCTTTTCAGTCACGACCCCTTCTGACGTAGTGTAGCCGGCCTTGCAAGAAAGGGAGATGGAATTAGGGAAGGATTTAGAGCGGTAAACTGTTTCATAACAATTTTTTTTAAATAACTTAGTACTGAACTAATCTGAATAGGTACATAACTGAATACATGAGAATAATAAACATACCTACACGATGAATAAAAACGCATGAATCGAACCTTGGTTACATTTCATTTCAGTATTTTTTCATTAGCGGGGAATCGAACCAGTTATTTGAGTTATTTAACCTGTAAATTCGGATTAAAGTGGCTACGTGCAGACAAGCACAGTGGCAAAATAATAGGTTAAGTAGATAAGTTAGGTATTTAGACAAGTGTTGTAAATTATTAGGTATTGTGGTATGGCCCGCTAGTTGCGGGCCGCGCGAATTCGCGTTCGCGCTTACATTGACCTTTAATCAGCTGATATCAATTCAGTAATTCCACTGCTGGTTTTATGTTTCAGTATTTTCTTGATTTTTTCTATGAAATTATCGTTTCATTTAGCTGTACAAACATGATAGAGAATGAATAAAGCTAATAAAACGTTGTGAAAAGATGACTTTTCTTTCATCAGGATCGATTTTATATTCCACCCATCAATCATCAAAGGTATGATTGGTACTGTCGTCTGTCTTAGTTTTCGGGAGCGTTCCAAAAATACCCTGTATAGTGTTGTTCGTTCATAGAATTGCATTCACTAGTTACTTGCCTTCTTCTGTTTTGTTGTGAACTGTTGTGCTTTATAATGTCCAAATCCAATAGTGACTCTGATAATCAGCCAAGTACTAGTGCTGGAGTTAAACGAGAGAAAAAGAATGTTATGATTGGTTAAAAGAAAGCCGTAAAGGAAAAAACTACGCATGTTGCCAAAGTTGTCTTCTGGTTTCTTAAAAGGTTTCTGGTTGGTTAAAAGGCATGCTGCTTCTCCAATGCATGCACTAAGATGTTTTTAAAGTATAGATACGTCATACTCGCTCTAAAATGGCAATACAAAAGTCAGGTAATTGCCCGACTCGCATTCAGTCGCGCACTCGCATTCAGTCGGGCACGCTCTCGCCTCGCGGTTATACCTTCGCTACAGCGCGTAAATCTTCTAGTTATTCGTGGTAAAATGCCTTCCTGTGTTTTTAGGTGGTGCACAAATTACACGGCAACTGTTAGAGACAAGAAAAACGTCTCATTAATATTTTGAATATAGATGTTTTGTTTATAACAGGTTTTATTATTTTAACACTAACTGCTAGTGTAAACTTTGACGCTAGCTAGTGTGTTCATTTCCATATCGGTATGTCACGCGCTCGCGCCAATGAGCGTTCAGCAGCAATCAATACGCAACTAATGACGTACATTCATCTTTCGCCACTTTAAAATACAATAATGTTAGTGTGTAACCTGTCTATCTTTTTTAATAAGTCTTTATGCATGCATGGTCCAATTCAAACATCAAGTGAGAGAAGGATTTTTTTTTTCATATGACTTATTTACCTAAATACCTACTTACATATTTGTAATAAGTGGTTTTTTTAAAGTTATTGAATTGTATTACTTGTTTCAGTGAAATTCGGATTACTGGTTTTGTTGCCGAACACAACTTACCATATGCGATATCTGACCATCTAGGAAAGTTAATAAAAAAAGTTTGTCCGGATTCAAAATAGGAAATAGGTGAATTTATGAAGTGTTCCCGTCCCAGGATTCAGGCAGTCGTAAATATTATTCTAAATAACAGCCTATAATTAAGAAATTATTAATGTGAATATGAGCCTTTTAGAACAATCTATGTAGTTATTTAAGTTTTAGTCACGTAAGTTTACAATTATTGTCTAGTACGTAAGCTTCTTAATGTTTTTGTTGCCCTTTATTTGAAGAATTATTGTTCTATGTCCTTATAGTGTTTGTTGTATACTTATTAATTATTGTCTGTATGCCTAAAAAGAATTATTGTATGTCGATAAACTATGTGACAAATGTATGATTGTAAAATAAATGATAAATTACACTCAACACACACCCCGCACTTCTCCCCTCCTATCCCCTCTTTGGTCGAATTGAGCATTTGTGTCACATACGCCCACATAAGTTGTGAAACCGAAGGCACAAAATAAAAGACGCGCTATGACCGACCTATGATATTGCCCGCTCCTTACTCGCTCAACAGGCATCTCCTTATAACGTCACGCTGCCCTTCAAGCAACACTCCACAAAGCAGCTCCTGTTTCTTAAAAAAGAATAGTTTCATTTAACTTCACAAAACATCTATGGTCAAGAAGAAGTATACGTCTGACAGTACGGAGCCCTGCAGAATAGCTCCCACAACATTCAGTGGTCCTTCGAGTTTCGAATCCCTGCAACAAACCTGCAGTCAAGAAGTTTCCAGTTATCCACGTCAAGAAAGCAAGAATCAAGAAATCAAGAAAGAAACAAGAACGCGCGAGTGTTCGCTGTTGGTTATAATTAACCACTGCTAATTACTTGGAAGCAATCATCACAAGTACGTGGCCACCTTGCGGTGTTAACGGCCATCAAGAACATACTTCCAGGTAATATAGACCCCGCCGGCAAGGTGCGGTTACGTTCTGGGGCCACAGGTTGACACACAACGATAAGTGTGAAATATTCCCTTTACACTTTGATGCACCCGTGAGCGCCCGTGCCCTCTACCGGGAGGTATCCACCTTCCTTTCCTCATTAGTTTCCATCCCTGGTCCGGCATCACCGCGGTAGTAGTCCAGCCAGACCGTTAGGTAGGTAGGGTAGAAACTTTAAGTGCAAAGTGAAAGCGATAAACTGAACAAAGTGTTAATTTTAAGTAATTAGTAGGATTAGGGACCCTCGTGCGCAATGGAAAACACACGTGTATTACGTTCAGACAAATCCACGCCTACCACAGACACACCACACAAATACCACAGCTACACCGGCGTCGGGGCAGACAAGTTCAGCAGAAACAAATACGTGGAGTAAAGGCACCGGCACAGAGAATACAAACGGTGACAGTGGCACGCGTGGTAACGGTAGAGTGACGGGAGCAGTACCTAATCGAAAATAGGTCCCTACAAGTCGATGAGTTAACTACGCAGGATAGGAGTACGTCGGGCACAGTAGTAAACGTCCCCGAGGACAGGGCAAATAGTCGATTATCTATTTTAAAAGCCAAATTAGAGTTACATAATTCCACATTAGCACAGGCTAGGGCGGCAGCTGCAGCTGCCTTAAGTCGTTTGTAAATAGCAAGAATAGAGCTAGAAAACTCCAACGACGCGGAACCGCCGTCCAGAGTAGAAGAGTCGCATGTTGAAGATTGGATTTCGGAGCAGTATGTAAACGATAGACCGGCAATATTAGGTCAAGCACGACTCTCGGGGCCAAACGCACGGTCACCTAACACGAACAATAACGAATCGCGCATAGGTAAAGACGTGACGTATACAAATAATAATAGTAGCGACATGGCGATGCTGGCCAACGTGACTTTTCAAGCGGTAAATTCGAGCAAATCGGACTCCTCGGCACCGAAATACATTCACGAGCTGCCTCATTTCGAATTAGAAAATATAAAACGCATGCCTCGCATGACTGAAGATGGGCACAATATAGGTAGTTTCGCGAGCAAATTATCTAATACAGTAGCGGTCGGTAATACAGTAGTAATCACTCAATCAGCTGCAATATCTCTACTCACCTGAGATATTAAGCCAAATTGTAGAAAAGCTTAGTATTATTTTAAAATATAAATGGTACGAATTTAAATCGAGACGCACCGAAGCGCCGGAGCGGGAATTGCTATCTATCTATATATATATATATATATATATATATATATATATATATATATATATTTTAAACGATATGGCAGACCAGTGCGGCGCGATGTTTGCATACGAAACAGTACGAGACGACCACAAGGTTAGTAGAATAAATACACGCGTGGTGAACACGGTCCGCGATCGAAACCGACGTCACATACGGCACCGTGACGAAAGCAGCGCCAGCTCGTGTGACCGGTCGGAAACCGTTAACAACTCGCCGCTTAAAAC